GACTAATTGAATGTCTGATTGAATGGCTGATCGAATGACATAATTTGACATTTTAAATGGTAGTCGAATTGAATATCAAATGTCATGTCGAATATCATGTCGAATGGCATGTCAAATGATATAAATTGACATATTAAATGGCAGTTGAATGTTGCCATTCAACATGTCAAATTTTTTAAAATTTACTAGTAAAAGTTCTTTAATAATATTATTGACTTGTTCAAAAAATATAATATTTAATGATGGTAATTTGACTATTAGCAGTATATTATATTCTATTTTAAATTTTTTAAATTGTTCTTCACTTTTAATACAACTATTAATATTAGCTAACATGTTATATAAAAAAGTAGAATAATCAACTTTATTATAAATTTGCTTATTAATTAATTCTATTTTTTGCATGCTCTGAATACTTGCTATAAATCAATTATATATCTATAGCAAATCCCAAAACTCTTTATTAATATAAAATGCTTTTTTTTTTAATTTGGCAGTTTTGCCAATACTGTTTATTAGGTTTATGCTAAGGTATTTTTTCATTACAAATATTATAAGTATATTTACAACTATCTAATATATATTATATATATTAGCTTACCCAGTTACTAATTTAATACCTATATGCAATCTGCTATATGAGACTTTTACTTAATAACCGTTCTGCAATTAGACCAGTTATTAGATTACTGAATAGTTTTCAAACCTATTATATTATATATATCCTGCTTATATACTACTGTACAACATTTACCAACCAACTTCTACTCCTCATCACTTATTATATTACTCCCAATTCATTTCTTGTATTACTTCCAAATTGGTGTCTTTCAAGTGAACACTCTTCTTGCTTCCAGTTTGATGTCTCTAGAGGAGTTGCTTTAAGTTCTAATCCATATCTCAAGCCAGGTTGGTGAGTAAGCGGGTTGAATTTCTAATAATAGCTAATTAATAACCAAGAAAAATATTATTTAGATACAAAATTCTAAGAATTCTAAGAGAAATGAATAGTTGTTATAACAGATCACATTGTGTATTAGCCTAGTGAGTCTTTATTATAATAAAATATTACACTATAGATATATGATACAAATTGTATTATACTACTTAGTACAAATAAATAAAGACAAAACTGCTTAAAAAAAAAATAAATAGTATCTATTTTAAACTTAACCTTTATATAATAAAATCTTTTATTACATGTAGTGTAGTATTTACACTTTACTACGTAGTCTGTTTTTTAAAAAAATTATTTCAAAATTTTATATTTTAAAATTTTACAAAACTATACATTTGCTGAGAAAAGGAACCAAATTGACAAAACAAAAGATCTTCGAAAAATCAATTTTTATGTTGTAGATCTTATAATAAATCATAAGAAAATGCAAACTTTAGAGAGCAATATAGCAAAATTTTATTAATACAACTACTTTTGTGTCTTAAATAAGAAATGATCTTATCTTATTCTAAATCAATTTATGTAAAAAAATAGCTTTTGAAAAAATTGCCAATTTGGTCCCTTTTTTGCCTTTAAATATAGTCTGTAAAGGTTTGGAAACTTAACAACTAGGCTATAGAACCCAAACCTCTGATGGGATAAATTATGCGACTTGGCCAAGAATAATTGTGTGATAAATGCGACTTTGGGATAGCTTCAACACATTCAGATATTTTTTATAACGAAATAACCTGTCATACTTTTTGATATAATCTTCGATCATAATCACGACTATTTGCCCATAGATCATATTGGTCATATTAATGCTAATAACTTTTTTACCTTCGTTATTACCAAGTGGCCTAATGACAACACTTGTTAACGAGAATACCTAGAATACGTGTTTAATTGGAATAATACTATAAATCATGTGATTTATGCTTTTTTTTTTTTTGCATCTCGCATATGCGGCGCGAAAAGATGGTCAATTATGCGATTATTATCGCATCGCATAGTCAATAAACACTCTTAAGTTTTGTACTCGTATCTAATTATTCCTAGTGTCTTACCGTGGCCGTAATGGGATTTTCACCCGTTTGAGCATTATTTAAAACCATCCGTGATGATCCAAAAGTCCGAGTTTAGATTTATTCCATATCAATTCTTGAATGGTCTTTAGCAACTCGTTTTTTTGAAAAAAAATCCATCATTAAGGAGGTTTCATACGATTTTTGGAATTTTTTTTTATTATATTTAAAAGATCAAATTTTGCTACACCAAAAATAATAATAATAATAAAAATAAAAAGAAATCAACATATACCTAGAACATTCCCAAATTCAAATCGTATACGATTTATTCCAAACATTGCATATAAAGCCAATGTTAAGAAATATCATATATGCCTCCTTCCAAATTTAAAATTTTTCGTAAATGTATTCGATTGAAAAAAAGCATTTAATATTAAGCGCAAATTTTGAAGCCAACCAAGAAAGAATATTGTGCTCATTAACACAATGCAATGCCTAACTTGCTGGGACTATATATAAGATTGCGAATAAGATTTGTTTTGGTTTAACACTCTGTACATTTTACCTATATCGCAACTATAATGTCCTTGATTTATAATTCGCGACGCTAATAAATTTATGGATATAAATTACCTATAACATTCAATCATACTCCATTTTTCATCGCTAAATTATTAGAAATAAATATGAATACTTATCCATTTAAAATGACTATTGTAAAGTAAAAACAAAACCAAAAAATACCATATCAACCAATGCGACTTCCATCAATAAACGTAATGGATTTTCTTTATAAACCTCTTCATTTTTTTCTAACCTTTCTTCAATCTCGAATATTTCATCGGAAAAAGTTGATTCAGAATTCGGTTTCTCTGAATTGCTGCTCATATTGACAGCATGAGTCGTACAATGTGATTGGTCCAACATATTATTTGGTTTAAATTTTGTTGAAATGACCTCAGAATCCTCAGTTGCATTGGTGCAAGAAGATTCTTCTATTTTGATTTCTTCATCTTGACGTGTTCTTTTTACACGAGGTTGATTTATCGATTCTTCATTTGTGTTAACAGATACAAGAAAAGAGATTGAATCCTTTAATTCATCACCTTCACGCGCTCTTTTAGGACTTATTGGTTCATCAAATGTCACACCACTTTCATTTATAACTTGAAAAGTCGGAGAACCTTCCATGACCATTTGTTGAACATCCCTGTCAGCTGGTCTTTCATCAACATGTAGATCATCCGTTAAAACTTTCTGTTTTCCTTCTTTTTTTGAAAATGATCTTTCAACACTGTGTAAATAAGAATAAATGTCTTCATCATCCTTAACATAATCGTTAATGACGTATTCAGAATGGTCTTTTTTTTCAATTTCTTTTTCTGCTTTTAAACTGTCAATTATCTGTTCAATATAATTAAGCTTGACACCCTGCTTAGGTAATTTATGTAATGTATCATTGAGGTAGAACTCAGGATCGCATTCGATATGTATTTTTTTTTGTGGAGAGTGCTCGATGGCTGTATTGTCGTTGAAAGGTAGATTATTATCTGAACATAATCTTCGTAATGGAGGCTATTTGAGAGAAAGGAGAAAATTACATAAATCCAATTATTTAAATTTATTAGACTAAAATATTTACTTACCAACGCATGATCTACATGGCATGGACACATCCATTTTTTGTTCGCCGGTACAGGAATTACTAACGGAAGATCCAAGCAATCGAAATGCCAATGAAGATCACAAAAATCACAAGACATTACTGGTTTCGATTTGCTTGGAGGAAGCTTGCACGAAAAGCAACGTATAAGTTTTCCATTGTCATCTATCATACGATGATGATCTGGTTCAAGTGTGAACCCATTCCGACTTTGATAAATTTAGAAATACAACTTATTAATGATGGAAAAGAATTGTTGATGAAAGTGTTTTGATTTAAAATGAGCGTATTACTCTTTTTGTTCAAACTTGACTTTGTTTGTATCTACATATTCACCATGAGGTCCCGTACCAACTATTTCGTAAAGATAAAATAATAATATCAATAATTCCAAAATAGACAATAGTTTGAGCTATTAAGATTAGACAAACCATCTTCAAATGCGTGTCTAACATGCTCTGGCAACAAATAAGACTTTGGATTAGAGCAACGGGCTTTGTATATTAGCTCTTGGAAAGGCCCTTGTGCTGGCATCGATGGTGAACTCTACAAAAATTAACGCGAAAAAAAAAACCCCCACAATAATTACACCAATGAAAAAAATTCAATTGATGTAAATGACATTGAATATAAACCATAGTATGGATCAATAGCAATGCATTATAACAATGCATTAATACAAACCTTATCACTCTTACATTCACGACAATACCAATTTCCTTTTGGCGGATTATCAACATCAAGAGGAGGTACCAGACATGTAAAATGAAAAGCTTTTGGACAAGAGTCGCAGCACATTAAACGACCACCATAACCACATGCATCGCATTGATCATGATTATTCTACAAGAAGTTATATAATCAATTAAAGTTCTTTCTTGTTTATTTACGGTTTTACCCTTACACCCGAAAAATATTATATTATCGTGTACTGAAACCTTTCATTTTATACCTGCGTATAATTATTTGCGCCAACAGCAGCCAACGCGCCCCTTGTATGAATGATATGTCTCGGAGAATTCGTAGGAGAATTTGGAGAAGGGAAGACACTACTATAACACAAAACTTTATGAAATCATTCGAGGCATTTTGTTTAACTATATTTAACTATGAGAGTACTTACCCCATTTTGCTTGATCTTACTTTAACAGCTCGCGTTTAAAAACTTGGAATTTTATAGTCAAATATAGTCAAAGAGACACACCAAATATCATTCAAGAAAAAAATTTAGAAGAAATATCAAGAATGATAATAATTCGACTTGAATTAAATTTTTTTGGCCAGGGTTAAGAAAATTGTCGTTATACGTGGTTAACGCACGTGATACAATACGACAAATTCATCTTTGTCGTCATACATTCTATGCGAAAAGAAAATCCTGGTTTAAATTAATAACTGATAAGAAAGTTTCTTTATATATCTGATATATAAATAAACGTTACGAGCAATGTATCCCGTAGAAATCCTTTTAATAGATGTCTATGTGTAAATAATTTCAATAACTTAACGGAATTAAAAATTAATTCGTCGAAACGCAAGTAATCACAATAAAAATTTAAAAATTTTCGACAAGGAACATTAATATGACCCTAGCATCACCACTAGGGTGGTTGGAACATTAATTATAGTAAACTTTTTCTAGAAAAATCTGATAACGTTTCATTATTTCTATTTTTTTCTTTGAAATATATAAATTAAAATGTCACTATTACAAGTAATAGAAAGGAAAGGATAAAATATACATTCTTTTCAAAAGAATATCAAACATAGAGCAAATAATTTTTAAATGAAATCTAAAATCAAATAAACAGAACCGCAACAAATCAGAATAATTTGAGTTGTTATTCTACAATCTATGGCCAGGAACAGCAACAAAAATTGCAGTAACGATAACCGAAACAATTAGGCTTTGTAAAAATACTCTTATTCCTCTTTTTATATGTAATTTGTATATGTATGGTTCCGCCACCTTCTGAAATCTACCAAATTTTGTTTCGCTAATAAAGTTTTAAATGATTAATGATCATTAAAAAACCATTTAATTGAAGAAATAATTAATAAATACATATATATTAGTACCTTATTTTCAACAAAGCAAATAGGGGACTAAGTTCCATTTGATTAGCGAATAAGTTGGTTACACCCATAAGAATAGGAATTAAGCACTAAAAGGGTTGATTACGATAAGACAGAATAATCTTATAAAACCATTTACAAATATTTAAACATACCCATATTCTAACAGCTCTTGGTTTAACATCCAAGAAAATCAAACTTAATGCAGTGGCAAATCCGATGAATAAAAAGAACAATCCAAGAACTAATCTTAACATAGCTTGCAAGATGTTCATATTGCCAAACGCTCTTGCTTTCAAGAACCTAGGAAAATGCTCTCCTTCCATGAATGAAAAAACTTCTTTTTTTGCCTCATAAAAAATCCATGGATCAGCTCTTTTACCACTATCTTCTTCCATAGCAAGAGCTATTTTTTCACGAATATGATCTGATAACTCAATCTCTTTTTCGGAACCCTGGTAAATATATTTGTAATAAATACGTTCCGCCGATTCTCGAAGATCATCTTTTGTAAATGGACGTTCCGGTCCATAAAAAGAAAGATTACCTGTGGTAGTATTGGTCTTGTTTGATCGAACTGAATCTCTCTGTCTTGTAAATCGTGGCGCTTTACTCGCAGCTATATCGATTATGTGTTGACCTGAATATGGCGATTCAGGGCGTGAGGGGGTGTCAAAAACACCCCCAGAGCTACTTGTGATATTTGACTCACGTGATGAAGCGCTCAACTGTCTTTGAACACCTCCATCATTACTCGTTGCTACGCTATATCTACCCAATTTACCTTTTTCCGGTGCTACCCCAGCAGGTCGATACCTTTCATACTCTGGATATTCGAGGTTGAGATCTAATCCAAGTTTTTTTATATCTTTTACGAATGCTTTACATAAATTTTCATGTTCTAATACATCAAGATAGAAATCCAAGTACTCTGATGCCTGCTCTCTATCTCTCATATAAAGATAATAGTTGTAAAGACATACAGGGGGCGCCGTTTTACGACTAAGGACTTCATGTAACGTAGGAAGTTTGTTCCGGTCATACGCTGGATACGTGGCTCTTGCAAGACGTTGTCCTTTTTCAGAACCAGAAATAGTGTGGTCTTTGCTCATTATGATTTCTTAAAATAATGGTGTCGCAAGAGAGCGGCTCAATTTGAATCTATATAACAATAAGTGGTATTATTGGCTGCTATTGGAGTACTGGAGGACAAAGCAACTGGTAAGACAAAAATTGTTAACAGCGCTGAATCTAGCTGTTAAGTTATTGATAATGAACTTTCCAAGCACTTTTAATTGTATGACCTCGAGAAAATTAGCCAAGTCGTAACTATTTCAAAAGGGTATTTTTTCAATTGGCATTTTCTCGAACTATCATAGTAAGCCGAAGAAATTCTATAAATAATCAAGTCCCTTTCCTTTATTATAATCTTGTACCTACCTGCTATTTATGTACGCAAGCTTTATCATGATTTGCGTGATGATGATCCGTATTAAGTATTAATATATATATCTTTTATATTTCGGTGCTCACTTGGAACTTGAATAAATCATGTAATTTAGGACCGATGTGGTATTTTTTCTTGCTTCAAATGGATTTATAGCAACAAAACCGATTCACAATTATAATAGAACTTTTTAACTGCGTTAAAAATAGAACCGGTTTTAAACGGTTTTAAAATATAAACTCTAATCAGGCGTACAGAGAGCATGTTGTGGAACGTAGTTTTCATATATAAAAAACGGATTGTTTTTAACGGCTAAATTTTTTACAAAATGACATCTATACCAATTATTGATCAAACGTTTACTGCAAAACTTTCTGATGAATTAACAAAAGATTTAATAACATTACTTGAAGAAGATGATAAACATAATGTAATAATCGAAGCTGGAGAAGAACCAAATATTAAAAAATTTAAAGCTCATAATTATATTTTGGAAATGAGGTCACCGTACTTTCGTCAAGCTTTATCCAGTAGGTGGGCTAAACAAGAAGATGGTGTTTATATTTTTAAAAAGCCAAATATTTCTCCAGAAACTTTTGATATCATTATAAAGTGAGTAAATAAGTTTTTTTTTAATAGTGTAATTTATGAAAACATTTTCTGGCAAAAAAAAGAAAATTAAATCTAGATAAAATATATGTATGTTAAATTATTTATTTTAATTATATAACAGGTATATATATTCTTCAACAATCAAAGTGGATACGCTTAGTGAAGTTGAGATTGTAAATGTTTTAGGTGCAGCTGATGAATTATGTCTTAATGTGCTCGTTGAAGCTTTACAAGAAGTATTAATTGAACGTAAGCATTTATGGATGGACAAACAATCAGTATTAATTTATAATGCTGGACAGAAATATCCAACTTGTACTCAATTATCAGAAATAATGCAAGAAGCCCTTTATCAAGAACCTGAATTATTACTCAAATCTGATGATTTTACGTCTTTGGAAGTTGAAACTGTTAATTGGCTTTTACAACGTGATGACCTGGGAATGTCAGAATTAGATCTTTGGTTACGTCTTGTTAATTGGGGAATTGGTCAACTTCCAGCGCCTTTAGACCCTGAGGTAACAAAATGGACTGATGAAGAATTTGATGCATTGGAAAAGATACTACGTCCTTGTATTCCGTATATTAGGTGGCGTCACATTCCGGCTGCTGAATTTAGAAAACAAGTTTCAATATTTAAACGTCTATTACCAGATGAATTACATGATCCTGATGTTAATGGTTCACAAGCATTTTATGTGTCTCCAATTTATTCTACTGTAGCATCACGAATTCAATCCGTTTTGATTAACCCAGATCAAGCAGCAAGAATTGCAAGTTGGATTGATAGATTAGATATTACACCGTTAGAAAATGGTGATAAATTATACAAGTCATGGCATATTCCATATCAATTCAAACTTGTAGTTCGAGGAAGCCGTGATCAAAAGTTTCTTCAACACACTTTAACTTCTAATCAAGCCGTAGTTATTATCAAGCCTTCAAATTCATCAGAAATTCTTGGTGGTTATAATCCATTGAGTTGGAGTAAAAAATCAATTTCTTCGAATAAAGAACCTCAAAATACAGCTCCGTTAAAAGATAGTTTCGTCTTTAGTTTGGGGAGTGATGAAAAAAGTGATATATTGAGTAGAGTTATTGATCCTAAAGATTCAATTTATTGTAATGTTTATTGTTCTCCAGTATTTGGTAAAGGTGATTTATTCCCTAAAGGTCATTTCGAGATTGGGCAACCATGTGGATGTAAACAAACTAGCTACGAAAAACCTTTAAGGCAGAGCGCTGATCAATTTATTATTGAAGAATTTGAAGTTTTTCAAGTTATAAAGAAGGAATATTAGAATCATTTTTAAAATTGGTAAGATTTGAATTTGGTTTAAGAAAAAATTGGGTTTTTTTAAATATTTTAAAAATCTAATTTTTCGTATGTAAAAATATAAATTAACGTACAGATGGTATAATAGCATCTGATAGTGAAAAAGAAATACAATAATTTCTTATTGTTAGGATAAGGGTTAGAGCAAAAAAAATTTGGCATGCCATTGCTAAAAAGGCATGCCATTATGTCACATAATAGGTATACTTAATTTAGATTGGTCAGTTATATAGACCTCTTTTCGGAATGTTTCGGAATCTCTATCTCAGCCTTTTTCGTAATCTATATATGGGGGGTGAGTCACCATATTGTTTTTAATGAAATTTTTTTGAATCTTCAAACAAAAATAAATCAGCAAAAACTTAACCAAATTTAGTA